AACGCTGCACACCAGTGGTATTTTCAGCTGTGCCCTGACCTTCACATTAGCCTCAGGATCTGGGCCCGTTGCATCAGTCTGATCCCAGTAAGGTGCCCTTTATCAGGGACAGTGCTATGAAGTCATGGGTTTCTTAGATAAGTGGTAGGAAGGGATCACAGGCTTGGCCAGATCCATTTCTCGTTTCTGAAATGTCATTTCAAATGAACATCATGTTCTGTGCCTGCTTCGTGGAGCAAAGGAATCACATTTGTAGAGAAAAATCTGCAGCAATCACAGCAGGGCTATAAAATTAGCAGGGAGCAGTTTCTAAGAGCACGAGCTACCATATAGTGATGTGCGTTCACCACTTGTCTCCACAGAGCGGGCCGTGGGTTTTGTTTAAAATCGGCTAAGTGAGATCAGCGTGCACAGTGAGCTACATCATCTCTCCTGCTTGGTATCTGAGCTGTAGAGGCCACTTCCCAACACTCATTTCGTACACATGGCAGTGCCAGGCAGGTAGGAGGTGGCATTCAGAAAGGTGCTAAATGGTGTAACAGAGAGAAATGAGGAGTGTAATGGAGTCCCACCCTAAGTAGCAACTGAGAGGGGGTTGTGAGCAGATAAAAAAAACGTGTTTCACTTCTCTTTTCACAATGGAGTTGTGCTACCGAAGGAAAGTGCACAACTTGGCCAATCACAGGGACTTCGCTCTCATTTGATGGCAGTTGCCCTTCTGCTTATGAATGCATGAGGCTGGGATTAGGCAATGAACTCTATTTAAAGTGGTGATGCTGTTTGGTGAACGCTTGGGCACTCAGGAAGAGCAGGAGAAAAGGTCCTGATCTTGTTCCAGCGTGTCCTGGAGGGTGATGGAGGAACCAGCCTGGGGAACGGTGGCAGAGCCTGCTCACAGGATGGATTGGTTCGGGGAGCAACATGGCCGGGGGAGCGCAGAACGGTTAAAAGAACTTCCTGATGGAAGAGAAAATAACGCTGCAGGTAGTGCCCAGAGGTGCCAGGTTTGCCAGCGTTTAGTCCTGGTCACACAACTGAACACTGGCTGCACGGACAGCTGGGCCACAGGCTTTAGTGAGCACCCCTGCTACTCCAGCACCATGCAGGTCAGGGGCTTGATTGCTCAGCAACCAGTTGCACCCCTTGATCAGGCTCCAGCCTCTCTCCTTTCAGACTTTCCCTTATGCCTACAGTTGAAAGAGAGTTGTTTATTCGAGTGATGTACCAAAAAGGCCTCTTAAGCCTGTATGCACTGACGACCATCCTGTGGCCATTTTATTTTCTAGGAGGGACACAAATGAAGAGGGTTTTGGCAATTTTCAAGCCTGCTGACAACTAGCAGCAGAGGCTGCATGACACAGGTAAAGCCGTTGTTGCTTCCCCGAAGTCCAAACTTTCTAAACAGCTGATCCAAAAATGGTAGAGCAGTTGCTGTCAAGAAATCGCAGAGACTTCCCCTGTTCATACCAGATAGCGGTTGGCCTTTCCTGAACACCCCTGCACTGAAACGGTGCGCATGAAGCATCCCACGCTGCCTGCTCCACACACAGGACATAGGCACCAGCTCTGGAGTCCAAGGGGGTCATAATTATAGAATTATGTGCTTTTGCTCTTTGCAGCTCAGCACCTCTGGGCCTGTTTATCCGTATCAATGTCAGTATGTGCAATAAGTAAAGAAGAAACCAGTGATGTATTTGCCTCCTCATTGTCAGCTGTTCCTTGCCTTGTCAATGAGGCTTACATAAAAAGGATCTGAACACCATGCAGAGCAAAGAAGAACACCCTCCACACATGCTGTTCCAGGCATGAGGGGACAAGGAAAGATTCCACAGAATTTAGAATAAATTCATTTTGTTGACCCGGTCAAGAATGTAGAGTCAAGTGAACACCTTTGGGCAAAGGCCACCCATCTGACAGTCATACAGTTATAATCCAGACACGTCTACTGCCAGCAGATACAACACTGCCATGGTGCAATAAAATAATTAAGAAAACAGGTTTCGTAATTGGAAAAAGTGCTTCAAACAGGCTTCTTGAAAACCTGTTTGTAACCAGTTTGTCTGTCTCCTGAACTTCCTACCCCACCTAGTTATCTTTTATTTTTTTGCAATTGCATCCAGAAGGAAGAACTTCCCCAGCATAACGCTGCAGAGAATAGCAACAAAAAAAAAGAATGGTGTCACGTAACTGTCTTTGGAGGGTGGCACTGATGTCCCGATGGGCGTGACACTGGAACAGCTCTTGAGCACACGCAGGCCAGACCATCTATCAGGTGCTTTGTGCTTTCACATTCTGAGTCTGTGTATATACTTATTTTTCAGGTGGTTCCAGCTCACCAGTGCAAGGACAAGGTTTGCATATTTTTCCCTATCTTCCTTTTTATATTCCCTTTCCCTCTATTCTCGAGAGGCACACTTGCCTCCTAGGACATGATAGCATTCCAAACAACGTACCTAATATCCGTTTATTTGCACCCACAGCATTTTTAAAGACATCGCAGAAAGGAGTCTACAAGACAATAAAGTAAAAACACCCAGGGCAATGTGAAAGGTGCATAGAACAGACAGAAAAGTGACAGAGCACAAGGTGGGACCTGGGAAGGTAAGAGATTTCTGCGCTGTTCCAGCGTTGTAGGCTTTTCAGGCTCTCCATAAATGACAAAGCCAAAGGTTTCGTGACACCACTCCTTCTCCATTGCCACCTTCAGTCTCTCCACAAAGATTCAACACTTGCAGAGAAAAGCACTGCTTCCCAGCGCAACTGACAGGGATGGGGGATGAGGTACAAGCAGCTATAACTTAAGTAGGTCTGTCATGGCTAAGTAGGGCAGGACAAAACATCGGCAACGTCCTGGAGGTGGTACTGCTGTCAGCAGCAAATGCCAGCACTTACAAGGCTCAGGTACTGAAGCTTCACTTCTCCCAGGATTCATCAAAAAGGCATTTTTTAAAAGTGACTTAGGACATGCAGAAAGGAACTCCCTTTTCCTCAGGTGGTAACACTTGTGGCTAAACCACTCAGTGTAAATTTAAACTCCTTAAGAAATCAGCATACTCTTCCTTTCCAGTCTGGTACAGAAGCAGCATTCATAACACCCCAACTATGGCTCCAGTTACATTGGAGCACCTCTCACTGACCTGTACGAATCCCCCTGTCAGTCTCTGGGTTGGAGTAAGCATCTCGTGGCAATTCTTACCAACACCAGCTCCAGCGCCAGCCTGTTCACCACCTAATCTAATTGTACATTTCAGCCACACTCAGACAAAGTCTGGTGGGAGTAGTCCATAGGTCACTTGCTTAATGTGAGGCTAAGCCCTGAAGTTGGACTGAACTGGTGCCATGTTTGTGGTGATGGGTTGGAAGCAGCAGAGCTGTCACTTCGGGAACTTGTTCACATCACTGCACAAGCAGCAACAGCACCTCAGGCCTTGTGCAGCCAGTTTAATTTAGGAATCTCCTGCTCTAAAAAAATAAAAAAGGCAAAAAGGTATGTGCTGCCTCAGAACAAAAGTATTTGTGCCAGTAATTCTATTCACAACTCCTGCTGTGTAGGTAAACATGGCAGAGCCATGCAGAATAGCTTCCTGGGGCCTGTATGCTCTCATTCTGGGATTTTGCACAGAAAACAAAGAGGACAGGCAACACCTGTAGCTGCTTACTCACAGCTCCGCGTTATGTGTAGTATATTCAGCAGGGAACAAGTCACATGCCACAGTAGCTCAGCTTCTTGCTTCTTCTCCCCTGCCAAATTCCAAAGTAATCCGCCCAAGGACAGAAAGCACAAGCTGAGATTTTTCATAACTACTCCTTGCACCAGGTCTATGTTAAACACTCCCACACCTAGTGTATCAGGTGACTTCGAAAAAGCCCTTGCTGGCTGCTCTTCCTTTAAGTGTAGTTCAATAGAAGAATTACTATATTTTTTTTAAAAAGCTCTAAGGAACGTAAGTAGCTACTGAAGTTGATGTCGCTGAAAAAAACCCACAACTCAACCCACACCCATACATACTCTGGTGGCAAGAGGCCCAGTACCTGCTATTCTACTTTCACCAGCCACCCTAAACAGGTTTCAGACCATTGAACATACATATTGAAGCATTTGGATGAATGTGTAGTAGGTTAACAGATCTGATTTTTTCCCAAAACCCAAAATGGATACATTTACTATACGCAGGTTTCTCTTGGAATTTTTTTTCTTTTATTCACTCATCAAGAGCCAATAAGTTATATAAATCATACTAGTGCTCATTTCCTTACTCAAGTTGTCAACAAGGTTTCTACTTATCTGTCTGCTGTCATGGGACCACCTTAAATCTTTGCAAAGAGTGTACTGGTCTTGGTTTTTCCACCGAGATTCTTCTTGCAGATGCTACCCGTCTCGTACACATTTCCATGAAACCTTTTACGCATTATTAGCATAGCTTTGTGGTTCCCCAAGAGGTTCCAACTGCATCCAGATCAGGTGAGAAGGCACTGGGCACTGTGCCCGTCCACTGGCGCCTAGAGACCATGTGGTGGGCACTGCGGCCACCCCAATCCTTCCACCTCACCCCTGCTCTTGGAAGGAAGCCACGACTAAAACTGAAGCTCCGTGCTGGAGGCAGGGACATCAAAGATACCATCTGACAGATGTTAAACCAAATACTTCTGTATTTAATTATGTTAAGAGTTCCAGAAGGTTAAAACCGTAGACAAATGCACAAAACTTCTGTCCATGACAATGAACTGAGACAGCAACATTGTCACCTCCATGCTTTAAACAGAGTCTAAAGCAACTTCTAAAACAAGTACAATTTGGGATACTCATGTAGAACTTAAACAGTGATTTGTTTGCTTTACCTAGGATGAAAGGTTTTCCAACACTTCAGTAGCTTAGAACTAGTCCCATAGTTGCCCTTTTCCTGTGTGCTGCTCACAAGATCCTTTGCTTCATACACCCATAAGAGATGTTCCCCCAATAACAATGCAATCTAATACTCATGGTAACACACAAAAGTATTTTAGTCTTGCTCCTCTTCATCCCCATCCTCATCTTCATCTCCTTGATCTCCAGATTCAATGTCATCTTCATCTTCAACCTGGAATAAAAAAAGATTTATTGTGAAGAGTAACATCCCTGAATTGGATCCAACCTTTTGAAGGCCAGACAAAAGCTGAGGAACTGAAAATACAGTTAAAGCCCACTTGAAATTATCCTGCTGTATGACTTGGCACTTCATAAAGGCTACGATCATGGCATGTCACACAGGTTGTAACTTGGCTGCTAAGGATGGCTGAGCACTGGGAGCCACAACCTCCCCTCTGCACCAGAAAGCAACTTCTTACAGGCTTCCCCTTCGCCTACAGCTGAGTGAACTGAAGCCCAGCCCCTCATGACCCTATGTAAATAATTTAAAAAACTAGAGACGGAGAGCAGCACTTAGGGGATCTATACTGGCTACAAACTGTTTTCAATACAAATAATGCCTGTGCCCACTGCAGACTCTTGAAAACCCTATTCCCGCAGCTCAGGCTAAACCAGATAACTGTTAAGTACCGAAGTGTAACCTGTTCTCCAAGCAGGATTGCATAAACGACAATTACTCTCTCGCAGTAGGAAAGCCAGGCACTACCCTGGTGTTCAGACACAATAGCTGCAACACAAAAGCTAGTTACATCCACCTTACAGTCACTTGTCCAGCTCTAAGTCACTCTAAGTATTCTTTCCAAAAAAAAAAAAAGAATCCAACAAAAAAATACAACATACACAGACACTCCAAGAGGGCAAGGCTCCCAGAAACTGCCCTGACAACTGGCAGCACTCCTTAAGCAGCAGACCCAAGCTTTCTAGTTAATACAAGTATTACCTGGGCAATGATCCCTTGGGATTATTTCACAGCTATCATCTGCTTTCCAGCTGGCAGCTGGGATGAGCCGCAGCAAGGCCAGGCACACAGTCAGGTACTGTGCCAGACACATACATGAAAAGTCTTCTTCCTTGCCTGGCAGGCACCTCTCAACATCCCTACGCTGCACAACTCTTCAAGGCAGTCATTCTCTTTTAGCGATGGCTGCCAATATAAAATGAGAGTGCAATTCTGGCAGATTCAAAATCCCTCTACTTAAAGACACCTCATCAGATGTAGTCAACGAAATACTGCCATACCCAGTCTGCTCAGACCCAGGACCTCAGTGGCCCATTGTTTTGCTTACCGGTACACCAAGATCCTTCAGTTTGATCTTCAGCGCAGATAGTTTCTGATCCTGGTCAGCCAAAAGCACTAAAAGGTCATCCTGTTCTTTCTTTGATTCTGCAACTTCTTGCTGAAGTTTACTTTTCTCATCTTGCAAGATAGCAACTGTACTACTGGATGAATCTAGGTGCTGCTTTAGTGCTTCTTTTTCTGCAGAAAGGGCTTGGACTTGACTCTGGCAACAGGAAAAAATCCCACACCGAGTTACACCGTAAGCATAGGAACACCTGAAGTCATTTCCTACACACATTCCATAACCAAGCAGTACCAGCTCCAGCCCCACCAAGTGCCCTGTGGCCTTGCTACCACACACTTCTGGAAACACTGAATATGCTCAGGAAACAAACCACTTAACTCAAAGCCTTTCCTATGGTAAAAATCCTCCTAACAGAAGGCTGAATATTAAGCCACTTGATTGGGTCTTCACCTACTACCAACCTTCAGTTCTTTGATTTCTTGCTCAAGTCTTCCCAGAATTTCAGAGCTGTTGGCTGCTACTGCACCACTCTCTACTGAAATGGCATCTACAGTTGTATTCTGTGGACAAGAAATTCAGTATTAGGGCACTGAACACCTCACATGGAGACAAAAAGATAAGGCCTTATACTGACATACGTACAATTTAAAAGACTATTTTCTCCTTACAGCATAGCCAAGCTCTGATACTTAGATACATCCTGCACCACAAGCTATTGGTCAACACATCTAGGCTTCCTAGCATCCGAAACACTTGAATGCACACAAGAAAAACCAAGTACAAAGAACGTGCACTCTAAAAATCCTCTTACGTGTTTTTCTAGACAGACCCTGACTAACACAGGCCACCAGCCTTCACTCAGATGCTTCTTAAATGCCAAAGATAGTTTTTATTATGCTAGAAATCTAAATCTTTGTATGTGATTGCGCAAAACAGCAATAGCTTCGTCTCAGTCAGCCATACCCGAAGTTATTCTCAAAATGAGGCAGCTGTCTTTCAGCTAGAACTCCAACATGGCATGAATTGAAGACCATGGCTTCTCCAGTTACTCCAGGTTTAATCCCAAGCTGTAGGAAAGGCTGGCAGTCTGTGGGGTGGCGGTGAGGTGTCTGACAGCCCCAGGCAGCACCAGAATGGGCCTGTGCCTCAGGAGCACGTGTGGCCAACACATGTGCAATGGCATCTTGTGTCGGAGCAGCTGAGACTTGTGACAGTCTAAGCATTCAAAGCCTCCGTGTCAGACGCACTGTACGTTAAACACTTGTTCCTTTCCCCCTCTAATAAACACCGTATCATGCATTTGTCTCGCAACAGGCCATTTCCTTGGAATGCAATAAAAGCTTCAACTGAATAGTTGGTATTGCTTTGTTAAAAAATACCAAGGACCAGTGGCCTTCCAGAGCACTAGTGGACTGGAAGTGCCCCTCTTTTCTCATGAAGGATGTGTCTAGATAACACGTTGCTTCACTAAAAACACGTTTGGAATTACTGGCTGATGTGTATTCCAACAAGCTTGCTTTAGGACAAGAGCTACAGACAGAATAAGCAGTAAAGACATGTCTTAAAAGATTTAGCCCTCAATGAAAAACTAAGATTTTTTTTTTTTACTGGTACCATTACTTGTAGCTTTTGATTCTCCATCTGAAGCTTAGAGATTTCTGCAGACTGTAGTTGCATCTGACTCCTGAGCATTTCCAATTCCTTTGGGAAACAAACACAAAACAAAGTTCACTTCAGCAAGACAGCTGTTTTTTCACATGGTATTTTCAAGTTAAATGCTACCAGACTAACTGTTCCATACATGAATCAAGTTGCATGTCGGAATGACAGCTTAGCAACTATTTCTCTAGAGTACAAAACTAGTCAGCAGCACACACAATCCTAGACCCTGCTCTTCGCATTTTCTGTGTAATACCCATTAGCATCTTCTGTGCATTATCATTGATGAAGAAACCTATTATGATGATCACAGCATGTCGTAGGTTGGAAGGGACCTTTGAGATCATCTAATCCAACCCCTGCCATAGGCAGGGACGCTCTTAACTAGTCCAGGTTAATAATCAAGGCCTTGTTCAACATGGCCTTGAACATCTCGAGGAAGAGCACACCCAAAACCTCTCTGGGCAATCTATTGCAGAGTCTTGCCACTCTCATACTCAAGAAGTGCTTCCTAAAATCCAATCTAAACCCATGGATGGACCAACTGGTCCGTCGCTCAAGTCCATGTCTCTCCATCTCAGAGACAAGGATTTCACGTGAAACAGTGTCAAACGTCTGCACAAGTCCAGGCAGATGACATCAGCTGCTCTTCCCATAGCAACCGGAAGCTGCAGCTTTGTCACAGAAAGCCACCAGATTAGTCAGGCACAGCTTGCCCTTAGTGAAGCCATGTTGGCTGTCACCCATCACCTCATTATTGAAGTGTCTAAGTACTATTACCAGGAGGATCTGCTCCCTGATTTTAAATGGTACAGAGGTGAGGTTCACTGGTCTGTAGCTCCCTGGGTTTTCTTGGCTTCCCTGATTAATCCAGGAATTGCTAGTTCTCTCAGAGAATCTCTGCTAGGTATTTTTTGAGCTACCCTCAATTAGTGAATTTGCCAATATTTCAACAGATACTCTACGCTGCAGATGTAACACATGGAAGCTTTCAAACAAGATTTAACATTTTGCAATGGATCAAGAGGTAGGTTTTGCAAGTCTGACGAGTCAGTTGAAGTGTATTCTGCCGAGTCAAATGTGCTTTGCAAAACCAACTAACTGGTTTTGGATATATCACCTTGACGCTCCAGGACAGGTACAGTCATCACACTGAGGTAACTGTTAAAAATGCCAACAACCTCAGGAATCAGTAATCCTCCCTGAAGCTTCACACAGCTCCCTTCCCATCCCAAGCTGGCACTCAACAGCCTTGCTTAAATACCACAAATTCACCTTCTGTAGTTCATTATTGTGCTCCAAGCTGCCAGATTTGCTGGTCTGTGAGGACTGGTCTGTCGTTCCCATTTCCAAGTGTGAAGACTTCTGCAATAGCAACAGGAACAGTGTTAAGCAGCTAAGGCTCCACTGAAGCCACCTCGCATCACATTCCCCACGACCTGCATGCAGTCAGTTAACGTGGCTTCACTGCCATCAAGAGGCCTTAAACAGCTTAAGGCAAATGACATTGGAAAACAGGAACTGGACTGCTGTGACAGCGCTTACCAGTTTTTCAATCACAGACTCCTTTTCCCTTAGCTGCCCCTGGAGGAGTTCATGCTTGCTCTTCCATTCTTCTAACTCCTCCTTCAATTTGCTCACTTCTTCTGTCTGAATGCCATTCATCTGAAACGTGTCACTGTGGGAATTATGATGCTGAGTGTCCTTCCCTAAGAGAGTTTATAACAAGTCAGCTTCGTAAGCATGTTGGTGTAATCTTCAAACACAGCAGTTGAAGTATTTGTTGCCCCCCCTTTTCTTGCCCCACAGGGCAAGACAAGCCATTCTAACTACGCATCATGGCAGAGTGTTTAGAAATCCCCTAAGAAAAGCTGAACCAAAAGCTCAGCATTGAGCATTCAGCTGGCAATCCCTCCAGCAACACTAACAGTCCCCATCTTGCACACCTGCCATTGTAGAGTTCTTCCCTAACAGCTGCTTTCATTCCCAGACCCTAAAACCAGCACACACCAGGGGCCATCTGTTCATGTTTTAAGTCTGAACACAAAACAACCAGTTGGGACTAACTTAGACAAAAGTGTAGAAAGCCTCAACCAGCAGCTCTCCATAAGCTGACATTTCTACATAAGCTTCAGCTCTCAGCCCTCACAAAGAAGGTTTGCGGAAGCTGTTCTGTAGCTTGCTACAAATCGCACAAGATTTTGGCACTAGCACAGCCGAGTATTCTGCTCTCTGAAACCTACCTAGCTGTACTTTGAGCAGGTTATACTGGTCCTTATGCTGTTGGATCTGTGACACTTGCTGTGTAACTGTTGCTTGGAGCTGTTCATTCTGCAGTGTTAAAGTGTTCAGTCGTTGTTTTAATTCTTCAAGTTCCTGGTCCTGTGAGAAAAAAACAAGTCACTTAATATAACCTAACTTTAGAAAACAAGGCTATCAGGAAGGCAAATCCAGCCAGAGAAACTGTCACTCCATCAGTACACCCATCTAGTTAGTGTCACTAGCCAGGACTGCCTATGACAGACAACCAGAGAAAACCTCATGCAAGCCCCAGCAGGTACACCCAAACACTGAAGAGTTTCATTGCTCTGTTCAGCCCCATTGCAGCTGTCACATTTTCAAAATCTGAGAGCTCAGAACCAAGAATACTTATTTGCATAAGGCTGCAAGTTTTGCAGTTATACATTGACAAACCTACACTTAAATAAAGGAAGGAGCAGATGTGGGCCAGAAACAGCATTAGACTTGACCAGGATTCTCAAGATCCACATTTAAGTTGGACCACAACTTGGCTTAAGTGTTCTTAGAAGCATTTCTGCATTGCTCAATTCCTTGTTAACTGCTTTGGAACATAAGGTATTGAACTGCATGGCAAAATCCACCGCAAACCACTTATGCTGCACAGCCTACCTCCCTCTTACCTGCTCTCTAATGACTTTTTTGTAGTGAGTCACAATGTTGTCATGCTGTTCCAGTGTCTTCTTGACCTCCTCCTCCTTTTTATCTTCCTCACTGGACTTGTAAATAGCTTTACTTATTACACCTGTCAAAAGCAGTTTCTGTCAAGGTAAGCCCAGTCCACAGACCTTTTTTAGCCTCAAAACAGGCTCACATTCTCACTCAGTTAACCTGAGTTCATGGCATTAGAAACTCAGCTTGTACTTAAAAAAAAGCAGTTGTCATAAACCAGTTCCAGAAGGTAAGAGAAGGCAATTTCTTGCTTAGAGCAAGGTTTGCACACTTAGTGCTTTACGCAGTTTTTGAAAAGCAAATGGATGTTTCGAGTCCTCTGTACTCAGTTAAGGCTCCACTACAACTGTTAACCCAACAGTGGTGCAAGTCAGTGAGAGACTTAAGACTACAAGGGCAACATGCAGACTGAGTGTGATAATGCCAAGCCATCTCACCTGTTGCTGCTTCACGTTTTACTCCTTCTCTAAACTGATTTAAGACAAGCAATATTAGTGAACGAGACATCCCCGTTCAGTCCCCATGTGTTGCCTGATGTAGCTGAGAGGCGTCCCTGCCCACGACAGGGAGGTTGGGTTAAATGATCTCTAAGGTCCCTTCTAGACTAGGCCAGTCCCTGATTCTATGTTTAGTTGGATGTTAAGAATGCTTACAACCTGTCTCTTCAGTAAACACAGGAAACTAAAACTTTGTAGAAAGCATTCACAATTTCACTTAATGAGTTAGTTCCAGACAGCCAATCTAGGGAGTTCAGGCTTCCGTATATCAAGGTTTTGTAGCTGTCAGATGTGCTGTGTAGTTTAGTCCCCAGGTAAGCACAGGTAAACACACCTTGTGTCCATCACATGGTCACTCACACTGCATACTCCTATTCATCCAGCCTAACAAGATAAACTTATCCACTAAGTCTAAGCCCTGCTTCTAAGAATATTTTTATTAAACACTTGAACTGCAAGCCTGAGTACGTGATTATTCACAGATATTACTATAAGATCTTTTTCAGAATACTCCATTTTGGTATCATCATGGGTTACACTATGCACATTTGATAGCTCAGTCGTCAGCTCGGAGAAACTCTAGGAACTAACATCTCTCACCTTCCAATTCCTTTACAAGCTTGGTAAATTCATGATCAAACATCATGTGGTCTGGGCTAGAAAAACTAGGCTGTGGTTTCTGAGCAGCTCTGGAATAAAGTTCATGTTTGCTAATGAAGCCAAGCTTCTCAATGAAGTTCTCCCTGCCAATCCTCTTCTCAATCAGCTGTTTCAGCTTCTCTCTAGAAACAAGAGACGAGTCACAGTGCCGTACTTCACGAAACAAACCCACCCTTCCCTCCAGGTGGTTTTTTTCCAGTTAAAGATCTGATGATCTGTCTCTAGCCTTCACTGCACTAGAGGTTTGGCATTCGAGATGCAATTTTCCAGTTGCCAATGACACCTGTTCTCAGCCTGGGAACAACCTCCTGTACAGAACAGTGATCTGCTGTGCCCAGCTCCAGGTGGGTCAGTTATTTAGCATCCCATACGGAACATGCATAAAAATTCATTTCATTAGCTAGTCTCAAGTACACCACCTCAGTTAAAAGACTCTTAAACCATCTGCCAGTCACATAACCTTTCCCTGCAGCCTTCTTTGTTCTACATCATACTTACTTCCGATAATTCTCCAGGGAATTGTCATTGTAGTAGATGGAAATGCCAAGCAGAAGCGCACACAGGCCTTGAACGAGCTGCTCCTCTTCTCCAAGGTTTTCAGCGATCTGCCCCGTGAGCTAGAGCTCTTGTTAAGGATATCCGAGATATTTCTTAAGCACAATATGTAACATACTGCTCCCTGAATGAATTACTAGTTAAAATGATTCTCACACATACAGCAAGGTCTTATTGGAAGGAATCAAAACAGGTGCTGAAAGCCTAGCAAAGGTAGCTACTGGTTTGGAGGACTTCAGCTGTAGTTTCTCTGAGGTTTTTTTATTGATAACTGCCTGCTTAAGCAGAAACCTGTTTTTTCAAAAATAACTTTCCTCTTTAGGTAAGGTGATGGTTTAGCCTCCTGTAATTTATTCACATTCTTTTCTTGGAAAGCCATCACAAAATTAGGCTCTCACATAAGTAGGAGACATACTTCCTACTTTGAGAGTGTACTCCTAGGTTACATTAACAGCACCAATAGCCATTTTGCAATAATGTGCACAAGCGTAAAACGACATAGCTTTCCACTGTACTTGAATTTACATGCACATCTTTCAGACAGGCCAGCATATGCAGAGCACTGCCAACACAAGTCTAGTTACATCTTGTGCCCCAGTGTATTTTCTTCTATGTCAGGCAGTAACTCTGCAAGCTCATTTAACTTCAGCATGAATAATCCAAGGAACTTGTAGACAGGCAGCTCTATGCTGCAAGCAGGTCAAGGATACAAAAGGTATGTTGGCTGGGTTGTGAAGGAAATGGGTGACAGCAATTGAGCAGTTGCTCAGCCAAGTGCAAAGCAACATCAGCAGTCCAACCCTGGTCTGTACTTTGCTGCCCTGCAAAGATGGAAACTTGCCGTGGTTACCTTTCCCATGGCAGGACTAACACACCCAAAAAGCTCTACCAGTTCAGAACTCATATTTCTCACACCTTTTTTACAACAACAGGTCATGTCTTAGAAATTACCCATTCATTAGTTCAAGTGAACATAGCTTTAGTGCCTTGATGAATCAAGTATTAAACCATTCCTATTTAACCATGTTCAGAACAAGCAACACATACAAAACACGACTCAACGCAAATTAGCACCAATGTAACATCGTAACCAGTTAGTACTGCATTGGTAGTGCATACTTGGCTAACGTGAAGGAACATACACACAAACCCCTGTAATGTACACCCTGTTCTTAGTTTAAGTCAAGTAAGAATTCCCTTTACCAGATGCAGTAGAGTTGGCCCTGCTGTCTAAGAGTTGCCTTGTGTTCCTATCGTTATTTTCTAGGTCAAGATAGGTAGTGCTGGAGGTTCAGACAACATGCATGTTAAGCAAGAGAAACATTACCTGCAGTATTTACTTTTTTTTTAGACTAGGGAAAATTAGTTTTTGTCTGCAAATTCAATCAACTCTGTCGCCCTTGTCTTTGCAGGAGATACTGTGGACACAGGAGCCTTGAGGCGTACATCACTTACAAGTCAACATTCAGAAAGCAACTATGAAAAATGTTTCCTGCATGAAAGTGACCTTCTTACAAGCACCCAATAAAGTGGGAAACTTACATCAAGCCTCTTAAGACAAAATGAGGTATATAGAACTGTTGGGCAAAAAAACCAAGGCTGAAATGAGTGGTCACAAGGGGCAAGTCAGTGGCAAGAGAAAGAAGTATTCATCAACAATCAAGAGGCTGTCCTTGAGAGTTATCTGCAATTGAGACACTGAGCTTCCATCCCTGCCTCTGTTAACTCATATGCTTGAGAGATGAAGACAGTTTTGCTTTTAAAGTTGAGCTGAGCAATAGAAAAAGAACAAACTTCCCCAGCAAGGTCTTTCGATAAGCCAGTTTGCCTATCAAAACAGCTTGTGAGCAGCAGTCTGCTAAGAAATTCCTCTGCAGCAGGCGCCCAGCTACTAACTGCCACTGCACATCACAAGAAACCATTTATCAACCCTGGGGAAAAACTAGGACGTTCTGACGAGACCGCCTGTAACTACTTCCTTCTGAGGTGCTGTGTATATCACCAGCACCAAGACCAAGCAACCTCCTTTCAGGAGGAGAATCAAGATTACAGATAGAGACTGCAGCTGCCATCCCTACTGCCGCACATGGGGACAGGGGGCACCTGGCTTTTTCATCATCATCCTTGTTAGTTCCAGAGAGGCAAGCCAAGAGCTTGGGAACAGCGGAGGACACTGCCCTCAGCACCACAACACCCACCTGTTCGTGTACCATGGTGAGTACTACATGCCCTACTCACCACTGCTTGGTCTTTGCTGCAGGTTTGTCCACAGCTTTGGTGTGACCCTCTCGCCCTCTTTTATCAACACAGATTATCCCGCTTGCTGCTACCCTCCCAGCTGAATGCCACTACTAGGTTCCAGTGACCCAGACCTTCCTGCAAGTTGCCTCACCCCCACCCAGCTCTTTGCTCTCATCCTTGCCTTTTATCTGGACTGGCTCGTTTAGCTTTCCTCATCACCACCATGCACCTCCCCTACCCACCTCACACTTGGTTATCAGGTTTTGACTCGCACCTGAGTTTTCAAATCTCTGCTCACAAAGTAACATTTATTTCCAAGACAGTCTAATGACAAGACATGTTTAACGGTATTCCCTAGCATCTATCAGATTTACCCACAAAGGCGAGACGGGATGCCAGAAAAGCTGACTGATAACATCCCCACACTTTCACCCAGTTGACAGACACTGAGAACAACCCCTGGAAACCGCCTCCTTGCCCTGCAGCACCCTGGCCCACCTCCTGCTGCTTTGGACACACTGGTTCAAGTGGCACATGTACATGACACCTCCTCTGCTAGAAGCAGTCACATACCACATATTCTCAAGCACTTCATGATAATCTGACTTTGAGGTCAAATTAATAAGTTAGGGCTGAAGATTTCTACACAGTCCAAAACATCCTCTCCCAAAAAAAAAAAAAACAACCAAACAACCCCCTCCCAAATAAACAACCCCTCACCTGTTTTCTAGACACCCCACCGTAATGCCTGCTGTGCTAGATGACAGCGCTCCATAGCAGCTCTTCAACACTTCAGGGCTACTAACAACCCAACCCCACTCCTCAAGCCAACAGATAAAGCAGACAATGCTACGGGTGTTCTTTCCTGCCACTGACAGCCAGCCTAAAACACTGCTAAATATCACAGCCTCAAACAACTCACTTCAGGGGTCAGTGAGATCCCTGCTATTGACAGCTGGTAGCTCCAAGGTTAACACTTCTGCTGCTAAGCAGGAGGCACAAAGCGCCCGAAGGCAGGTGAAACAGTCGGTCTTTCAGCAGTCAGGAAGTCAACAGCATGTTGCCCTTTGAGCTGTTTGCTACAGGCCAGTCTAAGGAAACAGCATTTCTAGGAGTATGAGTTTTTTCTTCCAAGAGAAGGGCATCTGTTAGATGAGTAAGTCCACCCCACTAGAAAGAAAGCACCCGTGCTACCCAAGATGTTTATCCCACTGTTCAGTGGAGCACCCCCAGAGAATCCCCTGGAAACACAGAGCGAGCTTGTTACACGAGGCAAAAAACCCAGCCCAACTGCAACACAAAGCTGTGAGTGGAGACACATCAGAAAGCAGTTAAAGAAAACCTCCCCAGCAAAACCCAAGTCAAGAGGAAAGGGCCTGCTTTGGTCAAGAAAGTGCCAAAACTGTGCCAAAAAATACATACCCGTCTGTCGATCTTATCACCCTGCAAGTTACACACATTTTACTTAAGATTTCTGAAGCGGAAGACATATTAGAAACATCCCCCCGAAGTATCAGTTCCTAGCTGCTGGCTCCATTTTACCTTTAGACAGATGGCAGTAAAGTGACAAAAAGGCATACTGACTTATTTCAGATATCAACAGATAAAAACATGAATGAACTCTGAATTCCAGCTTTGGGCCCATATTCTCAATTGCAGGGAAGTACAATCGCTGCCTGAGTTACCTGTCTTATGACAATCCTTTGGGGAAAAGGAATGCATAAGAGAAGCAAATAGGACAAGGGCACGTGGGCCTACAGGTGAAGTGCCCTCGGAATCTGAAGAGGCAGGTGTTAATGTGTCAAATAAAAATCTTGTAGATTTGAAAAACACAACTGACATCAGTCACTACGTAAGAGCCTGGTATTTTTAAGATGTTGCAGATCAGCTGTTACATGTTTAATGCTAACCAGGCACCACTTGAAAAAAAAAAACAAACAACCCACCACATTGCCTACTGCAGCTTACAACAACAAGTAGCAATTGCGCATGAAAAAGCATTATCTGTTGCTTTTCTCCTCCCCCGAAGCACAGAACCCTCTCAGCAAAGGGTAAAAAATAGAAGAGACTAAAGAGAAATAATCCTCCTCCCTAGGTTTCGTGGCTCCCTGCGATGTTCCTGCAGGAGAGCAGCATACTTCCCAAACAGCCAGAGTTCTGAGCCCAAGCGGGGCTGGCAGGTGCCGTACCTGTGAGAGGATGTTGGTGCACTGCTGCAGCAGTGACACGGGGGGGTTCCCGATGCTCGTTGCAAGCTGAACTCTCAAAAGCTGTTCTTTCAGCGTGGCATTCTCCTGCAACGCGTGGGCCAGGGCCACGGCAGCACACCAGTTGGAAAGAGAGTCTGTGGAGAAGAGGCCCCCGCAGAGCAGCTGACCAGCTGAGACTGAGTTACCTGTAGCTACCAGAACAGCCAAGAGGTACAAGCCAGATTAAAACAAGGCACAAAATCAGCAAAGTATTTACAACATCAGCGCAGAGTTCGAACCCATGAAAAACCACCACGTTTTAAGAAAATCATAAACTAAATGATTTTGGCTTGGATCAGAACACTTGACAGGAGCTAAACAATTTTTCAGGAATTATCAGCCAATGCATTAACCATTCGTGCTGGTTCCCAACTCACTGCGAGGACCTCAGCTTAGCGTACCGTCGATAGTAGATGGCAGAAGGGTTGAAACGATTTCTCCTTGTCCCTTTTGGTTTTTGTATAAGAAGCACTGGAAACAGTAGAGAACAGCACACCGCAGCACAAAAGGCTGCCTTTCGTTGACCATGGACATAAGTAGTACAACAATTGCAGGCCTGTTGGCAAAGGAAAGAGAAAATCTGGTCAGACAAAGTAGTGAAGGGAGAGGATCACAGAGACACAAAGTGGAGTTCTCCAGGTGCCCAAACTCCATATGTTGCCATTTCAACTTCTGAAACAAAACTTGTATTTAACAGCCAAGTTCCTCAGCTGTAACACAAACAAGGAGAATCACTACACATGACTGCACTGAGCTAGCTTTCCTCCTCAGCATCGTCATTTCCCATCCAGCCCCCACTGCTCCTCACTCACTTCACTCATACCGCACAAGGATCCCTCCTAAGTAGCCTAGTAGCTTGTGATAGAAAAAGTTCTTTTTCTACCCTCACTTTGATATTCAGATATTAAGAGCTCATGAAGCTAACATTTGCGGTTCCCCATCTAAGTAAATATCCATTACCTTCCTAGCCCCTATATCCTCTGGCTGACAGCAGCAGCTCATCCTACATTGGAGCATTTCTCAACTACTGCTCATTCCCTTCTCAGGTACTGCGAAAAAAAATCAGATCTAGGCCTCATCTCCACAAAAACACACCTGACACCTTCATGTTACAGCTAAAAGACCTAATGCAAACTTGAAGCTGTCGGTCTACATCTTAATTCCAAACTCTGACTTGAAATCATCCTTTAGATTAGGCTGTCACTGCCCCCACCAATGAACCTAACACACTTAAACACTTCCCTTCCTCTACCTTGGTGGGTTAGAAGGTGCATTTACAGAGGCAAAGTAGTCTTGGTTCATCTGGCATCCTCGAATGACCTCAGATACAGTATTAATGGTCTGTAAAAAAGGCACAGAAACAAAAGAAATAGATAAATGTGAACCATAATCTAATACCTAGATCCCTCAGTATAACTCAAGGTCATCTGGGCAGGTCAGTGCCACATAAGCCTGACCATAAAGATTTATTCAATACAACCATTTTATATACAACACAAAGACCTATTAGCTGGGAAACATCCTGAGCACAAGTTAATTGCCAAAAGCTCCAATGACTATCATACCCAGCTACCTCCAACTTCATTTCCTACAACAGATCAGTTACACTGTGACAGCCAGGTCAGCTGGACATTTGAAAAAGGTCAAAATATTAATTCTTTTAGGAGAGCAAACAATTGGAATGTCTACACTGAGTAAAATCATGTTATTTCATCGTGGGGTTATAAAACCCTCATCCTACACTGATGGCACCTCCAAAACAGGGAGAACTAACAGTTCAGCCGCTCTGAGATGTGCTGAAAACTAACAGGAAAATTAAGCAAATTTGAATACATCCTGGCTGCAGATTATATTGTAAGGGACTTGGACATTTAATGTGGCCAACAGGAAACCAACATCTCTGGCACCTGAAACCCATGCTTAGCAAATAATATAAAATGTCTGTTTGTCTCTGCAGTAACCACTTCTCCCAGTAAACTTCTTCGACCCACGCAGCAACCCCATTCCTACACCTACTAGCTCCATCCTACCTCTGTCAGGATGTCAGCAGGACCTCCGGTTGCCATCAGGATTGTGCAGAGCTGCTGTAACAACCCGCAGTGAAACATCGCCTTCTGGCAGCTACTGGTGGCACCAGGAGGATTTGTGGGAGACACCAGTACCCGCACAAGCTAGATCAGAAAAAAAAAGAAACTTCCTTGTAAAGAGAGACCAATACCTTGTGAAATCTGTAGCAGAACCAATTAACCTATTTGAAATTCCGCCAGGAGACAGAATTGCTCCTAAAAATAGAGGTAGAAAACAACAATTAAAACAGCACATTCATCTCAGTACTATGTATATCCATTTGATTTGGATTGATGCCAAATTAGTCTGTAATAATATTTTATTTGATGGTTAATATTTTTTGAAGGGGTGAGGAGAAGGTTACATGCCCAGAAATCAATAATTAAGAACCCACCGTGAAGAGCAGGTTCTGGAACCTGGTTATTGCACCACAGCTATTCACAAACTCATACAGAAGTATCCTTAGCGCAGAACACCTCTAATTACGTGTTTTCACTTCTGTCACTGTTACATATAATCAAGTTATGCGATATGGTGGCCATTACAAAGCCACAATTTGGCAACAGTGTTCGTGCTGAAGGCAGCACACATCATCCACGGTGACAACTAATTCCGAGCTCAACACAGGGATTTGGCAGTTCACTTGTACGTCACTCTTATTCTTGAGTGTAAGAGAGTTGAAAGGAGTTGACATTGGTAATTCGGATTTGAATAAAGTATTTCACCTGCAGCATTAGGTGAAGATTAGTTACTTTCTGTGCCGACCACCCACAGTTGTCGTCTCCAACTTCAAACCAAGGCTTCATCCGCTGAATGTATGAGCCTTCTTTGAAGAAATTCTGATTGGAATTATTATTCTTCAGCAAATTCTGTAGCAGGAGGAGACAGTCTTCCACTACTATGCCTGGTGAGACAAGACACATTAATCAAAAGGTTACACAGAAAATAAGCTTCTCCATGCAGCGTGTTGTGCACAGAGCTTGTGAACCTCGTAAATGAAAAATTCAGGTCACTAAATTAAACCTATCAATGTTGATCCAGTATATATCCTAGGAAAAAAAAAAATTGTGTTTCTTGCGTAAGTTTGAAGCGAAAACATGATTTCCAAAGAACATACAGTTTGTGCATCGTAACTGGCTAGGAATGGGAAGAACTTCAAACCCTCACAACCACTTGGTGTCCTGAAGCACACCTGCTTCTACTCAGACTACACTGGGTCACTGTGTTCAAAGCACTAACATCAAGTTGCTCACAATTGAAATGCATCAGTTTGTCACAGGTTACACATTTGTTCTCTTCAATCATTTCCTATGTATTTGGCTCATTTCAAAGTTCCATTTTGAGTTATTTTGGTACAGAAACGATTCTTAAAAACAGTCCTTACAACAAGGCAAGTCAAGCTCAACTCCTTGGGGTCACAACAGCTTTGTTCTACCCTCCTGTTTTCCGCAGAGAGCACTACAGGCAAACACGCACCGAGAAGATCCTCAGACAGCTTGATCGAGAGAGCACAAATAAAGGCAGCGTGCCTCTGGCTGTGCTGGGATGCCTCCAAACCCAGACTCGACGGAAAGACCACCAGCTTGCTCCTCGCACTTGTGCGAGCACACGGGCAGTGCCACGCCTGGGAGCAGGAGAACAAACCAGCCTAGCCCTCCTGCTGCAGGGCACTGCTGACCCTGCCTCCGCAGCAGGGCTGCACACAGGGAATGGACGAGACAAACGCAACTTGGGAAGTTACATACCACAGCCCCTAAAAATTTTTAACTGTTAACAGCAGCAGCTTCAAAACCAAGGTTTGCTTAATGCTTCCATGTCAACATACCTGGAATAACTCAGCTAGGAGAGAAGCTTAAACTGCTCCTGCTGCCCACAGAGAAGTCAGGGAACGGCAACTTAGGCTGATACTGAAATAGATCCAGTAGTAAACTACAACTGGTGGCAAACTCTACAGGTGTTGCTCATTAAAAAGAAAAGCACTTAAAAGGTGCATTATGTTTGCTTATTTTTTGTATCCATTGCCTCCCCAACAGGTAAAGGACTTGGCAAGGAGCAGACCAAGTTATTAACAAGGCTGAACCAAGTCAGCAATCTGCTACTTCCAGCCACTCCAGGCACCCAGGGATCTGACGAGAGGAATGCAGATGCTTAAGTCCGTGAGTAACAAGCGCAGCACAAATCTGACACAGCCATTCCAAGGCTACACCTTCACAGACCTAAGCCACACAGGATCTCACAAACATATGCACACACACTTCAGAAGAATGAACTCATGTTTTAACTGAGTATCTTAAGACAAATTTTCAGCAAATGCTGTAACACTGCCTACTTGCTCTATGTGGTTTTGCTTGTTCTGTTACAACTGGTGCGTATGTTCTGATCTTTGTACCCACTGACCTAGTTCCAGTTACATGCTAGTGCCAGCCTGTAAAGATTGTCACCCAATGGTTTGTGCCAAAGCACAAGTCAAGGAGTAAGACTTTCCTCTACCTCCATCGCTGTTTCCTTCTTCTGTTATGATGTCCAGAAGTCTCTCAAAGGCATTTTCAAAGGCGACAATCTTCTGTATGGCTGCATTACTCTTTGTTAATTGCTGTAACAACAAGACTCCCTTGACAGGTGAGGAACAGAAGAAATTCAACTTAGTTTTTATTACAACCACAACAATTTCTTCACAAGCATTTGCCTAACCTAGTCCAAATCCTGCACAAGTACTAAGCAATTCAATTCATAGTTACTATTTGTTAGGAGCATAAGCTGCCTTTGTTCAGTACTTACATCATTTCTTATAACCTCCCTTGAGTCTGCTAGTAAATCCATCAGTCTGGAAACACCTGCAAGAAACATTAAGAGCATTAAAAATGCCAGCTTTTTCATGTTGCAAGTCTCACTCGAGACTACTCCAGTCCTCTGCCAGGTCATCTGCTGAACTTCCAGCTTCAAGTTCATCATCCAAGTCAACCACTTACCCATAGGGCTGACAAGAATGATCTGCTGCACTTGAGGTCCCTGCTGCTTTAAGAGAGATGTAAGTAGTTTCACTCCTGGCCAACGAACATGGAAGTCAAATTCCTGCAAAAAGGTAGAGGAATAGCAGTTCGACTCCAGGATCTTGAACGTCTTCTCACACAGTAACAATTTATGATTCGACAAGTACATTACAAACTCCTCCGGATTAAGCTCTTCCAGACCACAGTTATGAGTAGACACCAAACGTGAATTCCATCTCCTGCCACTTTGTATTACCATTCACCCTACTGCAGCACGTGGCCAGCAAGTCCAAACTCTATTCTGTAGTTCAATTTTATTATCAGGAGTATGAACTCCTTGCCCTTGCCTTGGCTGCCTTTTTTGTGGACTACCTTTCCTAGCTATTCGTCATCACTAAAACCAGTCAGTCCAAACCTCCAGCTATCAGCCCAAATCCAAAAGGGAAGGGAATACAAGCCCTTCTTAATCTTCTTGCTATTTGCAAACAGCAACAGCAGCTTCTCTGTTCAAATTGGGTCTTCTCAGAAGAATACCTAACAACTAATGAATCCATTAGGGTTAGAGTTGCAGATCTCCGAAACAGATCAATAAAACCACCACTACAGAGTAAGCTTCCAGCATAACTTTTAACAGAGAGATCAGTTAAACATCCTGCATTTTCTAGTATATATATTGCATTTAGTCACCCTTGCACACTCACTGAGCAATTTTAACAGACTATCAGCCACAAAAAGCATTTGCGATACTCTAAATGTACTAAGTCACTAATCAGAGTCTACAAAACTACGTTCCCGATTTGCATGACTACCTACTGATGTCAAAATTGAGCACTCAGGTGTTAAGCCTCAGGTATATTGACAAATGTTTATGAGTGCTGAAATCATGACTTAAGTTCCATATAGGAAGAGAACACAATCATTTTATTGAAGATAGACTATAAAGAAAAAAAGGTAAAATCATGTATGTTCTCTTTGTCTCAAGCACAATCATTCTCCGTTTCGAAACTAAATTTTTCAAAAGTTATATTGAGAGGCAAATTGTTGAGGCTAAAACCACTGGAAAATTAGACACATATTTTTGGAAAGCAGTAATCCCTTCTATTTTGAGTGCAGCTCAGCAGCCACTTGTCTACTGTTATTATTTAATGACCACCTTGCACAAGTGACAACAGTTGTAGTTCTAATCAAGCATCTAAACCCCTTTCTACGTTACCCTGTTTAAGAAGTGCACTAATGGCGTTCTTTGAATCACCTCCAACCCCACAGTACATCTAAGGACACCTCACATATGGCAAAGGCTTGACCAAAGACAAGCACATGGCTTGATCTAGTCAGATAACCTCCCTGTGCAGCACCACCCATCTCTCCCCACACTGTTTCTCACCTCCACAAGAGTCAACAAGAGCGTGACATTTTCTTGCTGTTTGATGAAAATCTCTGTGAACTGACTTCCCAAATCATCCACTTGCTTTGGTAAGTTTTCTTCTGTAATAGTGAAAAACAATATATTGCAACACATGACTGCAAGAACTTCGGGTAGTTGTGACTGTCATCCTTACCAAAACAGGTCTGTGGGTGACAAGGTTTAGAGTCACTGCTAGAATATTGAATTACTGTTAAAACAAACGCTGCCTTGAGTTTGACACAAAAGAGAAAGCCTACATTATTTTCAACATGACTTCTACTGAGAAGTATTTTCTTTTAAGTACGCCAGGGAGCCAAGAATCTACTAAATAAACTCAATTTGGCATTAAAAGACAAATAAAAACTCATCTCCATTGATCATATCCAAGCAGATCCCACCCATGCTCTCCCCACCCAGCTGCTTTGCTGCCTTCTCTCACCACTTCCAGCCCTGGCATCCCACAAAGCTGACACCCACCTGCCCAGGCTCTGCACTACATTCAGACAGATCAGAGAGCCAAGCACCTCACTGAGGAGCTGCAGCCAAGGCACTGCTCCTCTCGTCCTAAATCAGGTTGCCCTACAAATCATCCAGCTCTGCGACACTCTCCCATGCTGGCTGAGGAAACCACAGGCGCAGCAACAGCTCACAGCATTAAGCACAGAAAACACATGCTGATGCCTCTGAATTTCTGACCCAATCCAAAAGTCTGAGTTAAGAGAAGCCAAAACAAGATTTTTTTTGTTCCCCTCCTGCTTGAACAAGAGGATTTACAACCTTATCAAGGACTCAGTAACTAGCGATTATGAACTGAGCAGTTAAGAAAAGGGTCAAAGACCAAATAAAAAACTTAATATAAAACATTAAACTCTGTAAGTTGTGAGAAGTATGGCAAAATGGAGAAATCCAAAGACTCCCCCCCTTAAAACTTAGGTCTCGAGAAAAGATTTTTCGTTTAGTCAACGCAACTGAACCATCGCCAATGAATGGTGATTCACTGCAAGGTACTGGTTTATAAGATACACTTTTTAAGGACTGGCAATAGAGAGAAGAAGTTTTTGCCTGGCCTTTCAGACATCATAAGCAGCTGATCTCTAATGCAGTATACCTACATCTCTCCCTTGAAGCAGAGTTATCAGCAGGTACCTTACAAAAGGAAACAAGAAGCAGAAGCACTCTACTGGAAATTTTTAGCTGCAGAAACCATTAAATTCTAAAAAAATATGGCCAAAGGGAGGCCTGGCTGTGTGCAGTAGTTACACTAACCTAGGGATGTACCGCCTAGCACCACACAGATCCCACAGTCAGCTCTCTGAAGCTACACCCTGCTGCACACCAAGGAAAACGGAGAGACCTGAACTTTTTTTCTCTACAACAGATGCTTAAGTCAAAGTATTTCACTATTCTCCAGGACATATGCCTGAACATCTCGCCCTTTGCCCACATTCAGCTACAAGCAGCAAGTGTTCCAACTACAGATTCCTCCTAATCCCAACTCTTGGCCTTGTACAAGCTCCAGGTGCTAAGGCAAGACCTGAGCAGAATATACAAGTTACAGAGGCAATCGAAGTCCATTGTAGTTTTCCTTTTTTTTAATTCCAAAACCTTGGCTCTAGTTCAGGATATTAAAGATTCTTCTATAAAAGAGGTAAATTAAAAATGTCTTTTTTACTTTCTCAACTCAGTTGTTTTACTATCAGTATTTGTTCTACTAAAGTATATATTAAAAAAAAGAAAGAGAGGAGCCAAAGGAAAAAAAGCACAAAGGGAAAGGGCATCTTCTGCTTAGTTGGACACAGAACATATCTTGCACCCAGACGTTTACCCATAATTTTTCTTTAAATCTACATATTGACAGGGCTCTAATGAAGATAATGACTTGCATCCACTAACATTAGCTCTTAGTGCTTCAATAACAAACAGCACTGCAAACTGTAACTGAATCCTGAAGTGAACAGATGAAGTGCATTGTGGTAACAGTTTAAAAAAGGAGAAATACAAAGTGTTAGCAGTAACTCAGAGGAAGAGTGAACACTAACTGAACATGCGTTGTTTAAAAGAGACACTGTGAAGGATGCTTATGTGCAGGACATGCATTCATGGCAAACTTGAGGGCTTCTTGAAGATACAAATGCTGTTCACTGACTTGTTAGAAACATACCATATCTGAAGCTGCACACCCTCATAACGTCTTCAGCAAGAACTTATTACTAGAGTCTCAGGAGATGTGCTGGCACTCAACATGCCCAAACCACATCAGAAATAAAACTGGGGATACTTCAGCTCCAACAAACATGTACAGGAAAATCCAATAAGCTTTCCTGAAGCTCCAACACAAGTCTTGACAGTGTCCTTTTTAAACCACAGTAAGCGTTAAGGATGTGAGCAGCAACTAAGTCAACATGCCATATTTATAAAAGTAAAGGTTCTTTTACCTTCAGAATCATCTGTCAAGGCAGATAAAAGAAAAAGAAACAAGAGAACAGTTTACCAGTTGAATAGCTTCCCCAACAGCACAACCAACAGCAGCAAAAGCTCAGCTTCCCCAAGCAGCCATTCCCAGCTTCCTACAGTAGCCATTACTTGTTCAGGTAGTTCTTGTGGAAGTGGCCAAACTACACTACCATGAGCTCTTAAAACAGTGGTAATAGCACAAATAAAACTCATGGGTTTCAGTTCTTTGCTCCTTCAAAGACTTCTAATGACATGCGTGTCAATTCACCAGAATTGTCAAGCACAAGGTTCACCAGCACTGCAAAAGTCTGACCTTAGTCAATATTTCTTTCATCACATCAGGCAACTGGATGAACAAGAAGGGCAAGTAAGCAAAGCAGCAATCTCAAAGACACTTAATAACAAACTATCACTGAAAGGTTTCAGCTTGCAAGTCTCTTCACTGTAGAAGGCACCGTGGAACGACATGCTGTACAACAGAAGGCCAGGCGCTGGAGAATCCTCATCTACTTTCCATAAGGTTACTGCCCCCTTAAGTAGCCTTTCAAGAAAGCAGCCAGATCCCATCCTCTTACTCTACACATAGCCTTGGTGCTCAAGCACAGGAGACTCTGACTGTCCTGCCATCAGCACCATTCACCCTTCAAGAGCCTGCAGGAGGTCTAGTCTACGGCTGCCTTACTTGCCAGAAGCATCTTGTTCCACCTGAGCACTCAGAGCTCTTACTCATGTAATGGAGTTTTAATGAACACTCACCTTGTCCAAGCCTAATAGGGGTTACTGCTTCACTTTCTTCAGGGTACTCAAGTTCCCATGCAACATGGGGTTATCTGTGAGAGCTGCAACCACTTAACTGGCCTTTGAGATAAGCTGCAACAGCTGACTCAAGGCCTTTGAAAATAAAATCAAGACAAGGAGGGGCTGGGAGTTGCACAGCCTAGCTGTACAGTGTCTACTTGTACATCTAAGTACCTCGAGATGGTGAAGTCTGTTTCTAAAAGCGACATGGCAGCTGGAAAAGAACGTTTTCATTTTCATATATAGCCAACTTAGCATAGGTACCCAGTAGCTTGTCTGTTGATATCCTTGTGAAATCATCAGATAGTCATGTCTCATTTGACAGGAGCAGCTAGAACTGTCCTGTCCCAGCATTAAAGAACAACTTAATTCATGACTTGATAAATGATTCTATTCCAACCTGTCTGCAGTTCACGGAATATAGTTTTTAGAATTAATAAGCAAGAGAGGCAGTTTTAGTTTAAGGCAAGCTGCATACTACAAGATTTCTAGCATTGTTTTCACAGCTACACAACAACAAAGGAAGTCTCAGCATTAGTAAATCACAGTTTTGCAGTTGATAGTTTGAACAAAGCCACCAAGGAAAGCACCCCCACAGTTAACGCAGCTGTTACTACCAAGTGCTTACCTTGCTCCTCCTCTTCTAGGTCATTCGATATTACATTGTAGAGAGTGTCCAAGGCATAGCCAATTATTTCAGAATCTGAACTGCAAATGAAAGAACCACTTTTCTTTAATGACTGATTTCCAACTACTCTTAGCACATTGGTTTTCGGCACAGACAGTTCCCTCAGCAGCATTAGATCAAGTGAGAGGGACTGCTGTGCACAGACATGCTGAATACCACATGACCCTGAGGTGCCCAGGCCCTGAACAGACACCGACTTTGCCCACTTCCATTCCCTCAGGTGCCTGCATCCAGTGTCTGGTGACGCAGGATGACCTCAGAAAGCTTCACTCCATGTGTGCCTTCGACTTCCCAAGTCATTCCTTCCAGCCTGCTCTTTGCGCAATTGCTGGGAGCCGGTCACATCCCTTCCCAGAGTCGCCCAGGGGACCTGCAGACAGGCTTCAGCACCACCCTGGGGAAGACCTTCCCCATTACTCCATCAGCAAGAACCAGGGACCAAAAGCTTGTGCTCTCCGTGAATGAAATGCTGATGGCTACAGGTTCTCTGGAAGAGGCCAGCCTCCATGCCACCAACTCGGACAACACCCTGTTATTAAAGATTTTTGAACACCAAACATAACGAGGAAGTGGCTGGGCTGTCAGTTTAATCCCAAAGCATTAGTTCACCAGCTTACACCACAACCCTTTTCTATTCATGCTTTACAATAGACCTGCTTCTTCTGACTAAACTGTCTTTAATATCTCCAGCACAAAGACACAATGCAAGAGTTCTGGCAGGGGGTGCAAGGTAGACAGTTCTGCTGCTTGCTTTGTTCATTATAGACCAGAACAATATAAACTCACACCTTAAAGAAACCCAAAACCTAACACTGCAAATGAAGGCACCTCGAGTGCAGGAGGACACACCACTCAGCTATTTGCATGTCTTGCCCAAGCACCACAAGATGACGCTGCCAAAACAGTGTCTCATCCAAACGTTACAGCGTTAGCTGTCACTGATCTGTAAGGCATACAAACCAAGGACTCAAAGATAAATTTGTGTTTTAAGCAGCCACTAGGCCGGTTCAGAGCAGAGGCCTGAAAACCCACCTAACCAGCAGTGTTGAAAGGCCAGCCTTAACTGAGGCCAGCTATTACTGCTAGACCACTAACTGAAGACGGCAGACCTACAGCAGTTGTTGCAACCAAGAAAATGAGAGATGCCTCAAGGTGATCCACGAGCTTTGAGAAGACAGAAGGGAGCAATCCCTACTTACATTTCCTGTATCACCACAGCTTGAGCAAGCTGTCCAAGTGATACCTCACCTCCCTTGCCACAACTGCCACCCTAAAATAGAAATATTCAGGTGTTAGCATAGCTTGTTCTTTCACATGAGGCTTCAAATTCATTTCTGTTCCTGCTGCTGTCCTCCCAGGACACATCCATATTTTATTCAGTGTGTCAGTCAGATCATACCCCCGCCTCTAAGTTGAGCTGTAATGGGAACAAAAAGGAGTAAAAGAACATATCCAAAACTATGTCCTCCTCTGCCAAACTGTTAGGCGAAGCACATACAGGAAGCTTGTAGTCCCTGAAAAGTGTCTCATCCAGCAGGTATGCTCAGATTTCCAGCCTGCTTATGTTTTCACTTCATTGTAATTTTAGTTCTGCAACACAAAACTACAAAGCATATGGTTTCCTTCTCATCTAACTGCAACAATTCCACATCTGAAAAACACATAGAAATTATTTCCTGAAGACTTCAAAAAAAAAAAAAACCGCCCAAGCTACAGCCTTGCTTTGCCTTTCCCACATTAGGGAAATCACAGCAGCTACCGGAGAATACGCAAATTTTATGTAAATGTGGTAAAAGCAGGCCTTGTTTCTCTGAAGAGAAACACATCACCAAATTATGAGAGGAGCATCCTGTCTTGACTGTTCACTGCCTTGCTACCATCTGCTGTTCATCACATTCAATATTTTATCGATCATTTTCTCCAGACTGAAGCAACGCAGCTTCTTGCTCTGTAGTGAAAATATTAAGTCAAGACCTGAATATCCCGTCTTTTACATATCCATGAAAGATGCAGCCTTTATGCAATGCAGCAACTCAGCATAAGCCACCTCGGTCTTCTTCCCTGTGCTAGTTAACCCTTCTATAAGACATACAACCAAGATACCATCACACCACTCCAGAAGGTCACAAACATCAGCAGAGTAAAATTCTGTGGAAGTGCAGGCACCCATGTATGGTCCTGTCCAGGTAGGGTGCCTCGAAAAACCGTTTACCCGATCCTCTGAAACTACAGCATGTCACTGTGCAAACAGCGGCAAGCATTACGTATGCTGTGAAGAGACGCAGCGTGTTCCTAACACATCACCCATCACAGCATGCCTTGCCAGAAGGGCATTTGGTTGACCCTAAGGACTCAGGTCACTATCAAAGGGGGAATGACATTGATATTACCTCTTGCAGAAGGTTTAATAAGAAACATATTACAAGTCAAAAATATGGGACTAAGAGCACAGTAAAACAGTCCCTTAAGCATCAAGGGTAATTCTCTCTCGTGCTCGTATTAGGTTTCAAGTTATTAGAATTGTCATGGTGCAATGTAGACATTTTGTTATACAAGTAGAACCAAAGCAGCTAAAGACAGAAATTGACTCCTCAGTTTTCCACAGAACTAAGCAGAGAATCCTATGGATTCATTTCACTTGCTGATGCACACAGTAGACAGCAACTACAGCTGTACATGCCCAGCCACAGACAGATATGGAGCATCTCCACTCCATACAGTAACAACTGTCAGCAGCTTCATGGCCAAAAAGCTTCAAGTCAGGAGCTTTGCTGATCATCTTGACACCAGCAGAGTAATCACTGAACAAGCATACTTCCTTAAAGCTACACCACAAAGGAAAGCAACAGTCATTCTTTTCATCTCCAGCATACTGTTTCCCTGGTCCTTCCCTATTTCCAACCTGTTAAGACCTTCTGCAAACTTCAACTCAACAGCAACACATTCGATGTAAAGGACCAAAACACATGCAATAGAAGATCTGTGGAAGACAGCTTTTTTTTTTCCCTAGCTAAAAAACCCCAAACAAAGAACATGTCTTCTCTTTTCAGCTGCACCTCACAACATATCGGCACAGAACACCAGCACACACAAATTCAGAGTGGACCACTGGCACCCAGAAATCACATAAAGGCTCACAAGCTTCCACTCTGAAGGGTTCAGGTTAACACCTCATGTGAAAGGGGATCAGCAGAGCCCCGCCTCCCTTCTCGAAGTTCAAATCTGACCTCAAGGGCAGCTAAGTGGATGAGAGCAGGCTCCTTGACCTATTTTTTTTTAAGTCCTTTGCCTTCATGTCACTGAGTTACTCCTGTAGCCTTCCCTGTCACTGTTCCCATCACACCAGTTGCATGCAGGCCAAACGCTCATTTGTAGCTGCCCAGCCAAAAGAACAGAAATACTGCCTCCTTCTAGGCACTGAACTGCTGCTTTTCCCTAATCCTCCTTTGTCTTGACATCACAAGGTGCTTCCTGTGTACGCATAACCAAGCAGTCTACAAACATCTTGACAATTCCTTAAAACATATTGACCAACGCTAAATTTAAATCCAGACCAGAAGACTGTCAGAACAGACTTGCCTACCTAAGCACCAAGAACCTGCAGTCTTTGAAGTCTGAATCAGAGCACTGCAAACAGATTCCCAGTGAAAACACACAGGCACCATGAAGTTCAGCAGTGCAATCAATTACAGGAAGAGACATGTAGCAAGGATGCTTTAAATGCCGAATTACACAAATACTACATTCTAGCTGACAGAAACTGGTTAGAGTCCTGTCATCTGTCCTGGCAGCAGCTACGGAGCAGAGCTCTCTTATTTATTTTAAGTCTTGAATCTAAACACATGCAGTACTCCCTGGGACAGAATTATTCTAGCAATTAATTTGATGACACATGTCTGAGAAAACACATTTTCTGACTCGACTTCTTTTAATTCTGTCTAGTTCCCCTTTTGCCCAACAACAAGCTCATTTGGGTTATTTCCAAAATCCTGTTTCTTTAACATAGTTATTGGGGATTTACCTTAACCAGAGGAGTGGAAAGTCACACCTGACAAGCATTAAGGTTCTTCTGGTACTATCTGCAGAACTTGTCTTTCTATCCCTCAACCCAGCTCCGGGAATTCGGGTCTTGCAACCTCCAAACATTCTTTTTAAGTTGGTCCCCGTTAGCAGCCACAGTGCCAGAAGAGCTGTGAAGAACCCAGCTCCCCTGTGGCTTTCCGGGAGC